TTTTGCCAGGAAATGGCGTTACCGACATATAAAATATGTGTACCGTAAATACAGACATTGTAAAAATGTTATCGAGAATATTAATGGTTAGTGATCACAAAAACATAGTTGAAAATATAACTTACTTGTTGTTATAAAAGAGAACAAAGATGTATTTCACATCGCTTACATCACAATGCAGCATATAGTAACGTACATTTACCTTGATTTCATGCGTGCGTGTTTCCTTACTCATTTTGCAATGTTAAGTTGAAGTTAAGAGCTAACCATTCACAATGGTAATGTCACATTTTACCGACAAAACGTAGTATCCCAGGTGAGGCTCGAACTCTCGGACACGGCATTACTCGGACACTGTCTTATAAGTACCGTGCGCTAACTGATTCCGCCACAAAATTAGCGGATGTAAAAAAATTCTGATTTAAATTTTTTACTAATTTTTTATTTAAAACTTCACGTATAATAACAAAATAAATTTTTTTCTCTTAATGTTATGCAAATTTCTTTTTTAAAAATATTTGTTGAAAATTTTGTGAAAAAGCTATAGTTATCTTCAGGTTTTTTTACACACACACACACACACACACACACACACACACACACACACACACACACACACACGTGTGTGTGTGTGTTTAAGACATTTCTTTTGAAATATTAACAGATTTAATGTTTTATATCACTATTATTTCGCAGAAAGTTAGCATTTTTATATCGATAACCATACACTCTATCAACTGTTGCTCTATATGACAGTTAATAGGATTCTCATTTATAGTCAGTAAACATAAGCCAATCAAAATTTTAATATAGTTATTTCAAATTCCGTTCAACCCTTTTATGTTCCAGGAATAAGCACATTGTATGACCTTTTTCCATAACTCTGCAAATGACAAATCAAAGAATTTACCTAAACATATTTGCAGATGAGCAAAAGGGCATTTTTGCAGTTAGTTATTTTTTTGTATTCCAACTTTAAACATATGCAAGCTCCATCATATTTTTTTCTCGGTGTTTTTATTATTTTCACTTCTTCTGCTGTATATTTTGGCTTCGTCCATATTGCTGTTCTGCTGTCTTATTCACACAAAGAATTGTATCGTATTGAATCCGAAATTGTGAAAAGTATAAGTCGTTTATTAACGAGTGTCCACTTGTCGGGCTTTCCCCGCTTGTTTGTACATACTTTGTATAAACCAGATTATAAATCGAAATCAAATTAAAATCAGGGAGTATAATTTGGTGATACCAATGTCCACAGAGTTTCTTTAAACCAACCACATCGAGTCGTCTGCACAGGTTCACTCAGATGAAAAAGTAAATTTTCGGTTTTTGTCCAGAAGAAAAATGTACACAGAGTGTCACATTCTCAGCGGTACCCAGTCTTTGGTTAATAATTTTAACAACAATGGAAATACTGTAACGAAATTTTGAACAGACCTATTCTGCTTTGTGTGAAATGGGGTGACATACGCGTCCATACATCGCTGAACTCTTCGATCCATAATGAAGATGTGCAACTAAATAGAAGATAATGAAAAGCGCGTGGCAATATGTCATTCCGTTTTGGATTGTAGTGTTACGTGTTTACCCGCAGAAGTTTCGCCTCGTGGCCGGAAGTGTGTGTTAAATTGCACCGTGGTGACAGTGTATTAAATTTAACAGATTATAAAATAAGGAAGGAAAATAATTCATCGGTTAACTTTAGAGCAGAATGTCTTTCCTGTTCGGATAAACTTAATAACATACTTGATTAAGAAATGTCATAAGACATTTTGGGACAAGTTTGGAGGCAGACATGCCTCGCGAAGAAAATTGTGAGGAGGATGTAAGGACATCTCCGTCTACTGCCCTCTCCAAAGAAGTCACTGAGCTGACTTTATCAGGAAACAAGAATGTCAGAAAACACTTCTCATCGCACAGAAAAAAAAAACAATCTCGATGAGTACCGTATGTATTATATCCGCAATATCAAAGAGCCTGTAGGGACCACGGTGGCTGAGCGGTTAGCTTGCTCGCCTCCCACCAAGGCAATCCGAGATCAATTCCCGGCCGGGTCACTCCGGATTTTCGCATGTAGGAATCGTATCGGTCTATACCGTTGGTCGGCGGGTTTTCTCGGGGATCTCCCGTTTATCCCGTCCTTTGATTCCAACGCTGCTCCCTACACACCTCAATCACCCTCATTGGCTCTCAAGACTTCGATGATAAGAGCCGTCCAAATCTCATCACTCACTCAACCTCCCGTCTTTGGACCAGTGGAAATCATCACGCGGTTCATCAAGATCCTCTCCATTCAGAAAATGTGTCGTTTAGTCTGCAATTTCCCACCGGCGCATAATTGACCCAATTTCCTTCGAGACAACCATCACGACTACTGTACTCAAGGCCAATTCCAACATTTTTTACGTTATCACGTTTCACAGAAAGCACATTACGCATTTTCAAGATTTCGACAGAATATCTTCATTATTGTTGACGTTATTAAGGATAACCTGAAATCTACTTGGATTTCTTCCATACCTCAGGCGATGCAGAATAAAATTGTGATATTTTTTTTTTTCAGCTGAAAATTAATTTTAAATCAGAAAAATGTTTTTAATCTCCTGAAGATACTTTGAGCTATTTAACAACCTCGACTATTTCTGTCGGTAGCTCATACCGTCCTGAGATGGTTATATAGTAAGCATAAAAAACAAACTAATGGAGATACTGGGGTTCGAACCCAGAGCTTCCTGCATGCGAAGCAGGCGCTCTACCTCAGAGCTATACCCCCACACGTATCAAAAACCAATTAGGAAGTTTTTTTCTCTTATATATTCCGTACAGAAATCTTAGCTTATTTAACGATGTTTAAATACTTTTAATAACAGAGTTACTAGTTCCACTTATTTCCAGCCGACAGCCAGAATAAAAAGCAGGCTTAAAACTCTATTATTGGTCATTTCCTTTGTTTTCTGGCAATTTTTGCTGGTTCCTTTCTTTTCTGTCACTGCATTGTCTTATTAGTCTCGTGTTGCTCCTTATCGGACTGGATAATCATTCTTCAAAATTTAAATTGATCGATTATTATATTTGTTCAATGCTCTGTTGTGATGAACCTTAAATTTACTTTCTCCCTCCCAACTTCTATAGTCCGTGTACAGTCCCGGGCATTGGGGTAGTTGAAATGAATTTTTGTATTGTCTAATTTCCTTTTACTTTATTTTTATTATATTTTTGCATTTTTCTGATTGATTTTTGACAGACGTCAAAGATAACAAATAAACACTTCTAGTCAGCTCGTCATCCACCAATGCAGAAATCGTGTCCTTATTTTTATTTCACAAATTCTTAGATAGGAACATTTAACTCGTACCATTCATATTTGAGATCTTCACAATTCCATTTTTTTTGTATTTGTCAAACGGTGAGGCTGTGAGCTGAGCGTAAAAATATATTTATATTTTCTGAGTAAAATTATTGTCTTTATCTAAATCTCAGAATCTCCGCTTTTTTCGTTATAATCACGTTCTGCTGTTGTCGGCTTAAGAAAAGAACACATTATTATTATTATTATTATTATTATTTTTCCAGTTTTTAAAACATAGCATTTTAAACGACAAATAAACTGAAGAATGAAGAAGTAATAAATTATTTTCTCAACTACTCACATGAATATTACACAAGTTACAGTCATAAGCAAAGTCGGCGTACGAAACGCCTGTTCAGTTTAAATATCTCAACTGTATCCAAATCAATGAAATCTGTCTGCATGCCAATGATCTCAGCAGCACTTGTATTACGGAATTATACGTATTACTAAAGAGGCAGCATGTTTGTGAGACTATAGTAATTAATTATTAATCGTACCTTATACGCCATATCAACCAAAAATGAGCAATTTTCTAGGTTATGAATCGTAAAAGTATACAGTGGAGCGTTAGTACAGCATCCCAAAAAGTCCTCATTAGCATCTGTTCTTTCAAATAAGACATTTTATATGAATATAGAACTGAGAATTTGTGTGCTGGTATACCACAAATTAAAAATTCTCACAAAATATCATTGATTTAAGCAGTAATTGTTAGCATGTGCAACATCTGTTGTTGAATTAAATTTTTTTATTAGCATTTTATCGTTTCTTCCGAGGCCTTAGAATGCCTTTATCAAAGTATTCCTCGGTAAGTGTGTTTATTTATCTATTTCTATAGCGTCTTCATGGCATTCCCCATCTTTAAAAATGTTATATATTTATACTTCTTCCACTGTAGTTCATTGCTTAATGTACCCAGCATTATAAACATCTACTTTACATTTTTTCCATATATATATAATATATATGTATATATTAATTCATCTCTTTGCGGAATTAATTTTCCGGAATATATTTCTAACGTTTTCTACTATCTCTAAGAACATCCCGATTTTTTATTTGTAATTTCTTCTATCCACAAAGTTAGTTAAAATAAGTTCACTGTCACTTTATCAATGCTTTTCTTCTTATTTTGTTTGCATTTTTTCGTTGTGCGGTGTCGCTGAAACAACGTGGCATTTTATTTACTTCAAATTGCATATTCTTTCACATTAAATGATGTGTTTATAAAATAACATATAGATATTCCAAAACAACTGGCTCACATTTCATAGTGAATTATTTTCCAGCCTAATATGGTTTCCATTATAGAGAACAACTAAATGTGTGATACATTTAATTTTCTCTGGTGATATAACTTCATTCAGTAATTCTTCTTCCGGTGAGTTAAATATATGGAAATTATTCTGGAATTCACACCACACCCAACTACTATGTAGTAACTACTAAAATGTTTACCGTAGGAATAAATAAAGTCTAGCAACTCTGTTTGAATAATCGAATGATAGTATTCAATGAAATGCCAAAACTAGAAAAGATTTCCTCCTCTGTGAAATGTAAATACAATTTGTGTTGCCTAGAAATTATGTAGTAATACAATCACCTTTCGTTAAATATATGTCAAATCGCCTTTAGGTTAATTTTATGGGATGTAGCTCAGAAGGAGAGCGCTTGATTCGCATGCAGCAAGACCTGGGTTCGAATACCAGTTTCTCTATTGTTTTGAAATTTAAAATTTTTAATTAACCATCCCAAAACTGTTTTCTGCTAGTAGGAATGGCGGAGATGCTTCTACGATGTTGGAAAAGTTAGTATTTTTAATTATTTTCCCATATAAAGTGATGCGTGCCTCATTTTGTCGGCCACGGGAGATGAGCAAGGCACTGGTTGTAAAAAAAATGCTGCAGTCCATTCACGGTTAGTTACACCTTTTCTGAAGCCCTTCCAGAGTTCTACCTCCAGGATATTACTCCGCTCCATGCATAAAATGCTCAACCGAAGCACTGCATTCGTGCGCACTCAGTTTAATAATATTTTGCATAAGAACTATTTCTTACTAGGTATTACCAATACATCTAAGTTCTCTGTTTTTATTCATATTAATATTATAAGTGAAAAATGTAAATTATAGACAAATTATAAGCAAAAGTTCATATTAAACAAAAATAAAAAACTTTAATGTTAACAATAGTATAAAACACTTGTTATACATGACATATTTTGAAGGGGGGAAAAACCAGATACGTGATACATAGGGTGAGTTTTCAAAGGTTTGTTTCAAAATATAACCAAATAGTGAATAGTCTATATCGTGTTCAAACTTTCTTCCTTCTAGATATTTACACCCAGTTCTCTGTATTTACTATAAGACTATGGCGCCACGAAGGAGATTTTCTTTTTTGTTGTAACGAACGGATGGTTGCAAACAGGGAAATGCAGAATGTTTTAAAGTTTATGAAAACAGAATTCTCACAGTGCTGAATGAGATGAAAAAAATCTCTCTTTAAGAAACTCTTTACACTACAGTTTATGTATCCATATCTTAGCAAATGGCAAGACTGATGGAGTGTTATTTATTCATAAGTTTCTTATTGTCTCATATAGAGATCTGGTCCACCATATTTGCTCTGGCATTGCTATGCCTTTCTAGCACGGTTTAGTTTGACTGTTATTTGATCAGCATCCTCTGTTGAATGTTTACAGTTCGATAGTGATGCATAATTTTTCAAAGAAAATCTATTGATGTGCGGTTTTTTTTATTGATGGTTGAATGCTATTTTGCTACAAGTATTTCAACTTGGATTAGGATTAAAGAGTTTAAAATGTTTGATTTATTACATTGCTAGCAAAAATATTGATTTTGCATAGTGGTATCTAGGTTTTCCGAGTTTATTGGAGATGTTTGCCATTCAGTTCGAGCGAAAAATATTGCTTCTCTCTTTGGATGTTTAATATTTGGAGTAGTATTTTCAATAGCTTTATGGAGCAAAAAAACAACATATTTCAACGCAAATAAAATATACATATTTTCGTGGTTTCCTTTTGTCGGTGCATGCATAACGCAACAAAAATATTAAACATACGAGTGTCCAACGAAATTGATTTTTTTTTTGTTATTTATGTTATTTTTGTACTTGTTTTAGAGTTCTCAGTTTCAGCTCTATGCAGTGAAGTCCGATTAGCGTAGAATGATATCCACAAGGGTTTTGGTCACATAGCTAGTAAAATGAATTCCCCAGGTGAGGCTCGAACTCACAACCCCGGCATTGCTCGGACACTGTCTTATAAGTACCGTGCGCTAACCGATTGCGCCACTGGGGACGATATGTTTAGCGTGCTCTTATTACAATAATCTATTTTACTTGGTGATGTATTTTATGTTTGCTACAAATGTATGTAGCTGTAAGTAGCTGCAAACGATGAAACAAAGCGTTTGGTTTTGTCTTCCGAAGAATACCAAAGGTACAGTACTGGCCAACTTGCAGTCATTACCCACAGCGAGTTCTGTCGGCGACCATCACGCCTGCACGTACATTCAGGCCGAATCCCAATTCGTTTCGAGTTACGTTTTTCTTAATTTTTATTAAGCATTTTGTAAGGTTTATGGGGAACACCATGACATTCAACTGTCTAACACGCCATGCTACTATGACTTTTCGTGTTATAATGATTGTAAAATTGAAAGGCCAGAAATCGAACCCGGTTCGCATCGGTGAGTGACGCTGCACCACCGCGGGTCCCTTCAGTGAATTAAGTCTGTGTTATCTGAAGTGGAAATATAGCATTGCACTCATTTACATAATAATAGTCGCGCGCATTATGAACTACACATAAGAGGTGAAAGATGATATACAGGCAAATCACGGGTAATGATGCTACTTATTTTTAGTTTTGATGCAATTTGAAGCATAGAACTGCCATCAGACGAGGTTAACACAGCAACAGCCCTGGCAAAGAGACAGGTCGTAGGACAAAGTGTTATTCAGTATAATCAGTGTGCGTTCTGAGTGAACCTCACTGAGTAGCGCATGCCTCACCGATACATTCTACACTAGGATGAACAACTTATATAGTCTGAGAGGATGAATACAAGACGCAGAGTGTTAGATTCTGTCGAACTGCTCACTACTAGGATCCTCTAAAATGAACTGTGCGACGGTTCTGGGAGCACTTAGGACATGAGAGAACACATTTTATGCGGGAAGATTATATGCGAACTTTCCATTGTCCTACAGGAGCGAACTCAAACAATGGAGTCACGTTTCATCACCCAGAGACATGAACTGCATCACTTTGTAGTGACTCCTGTTTCCAAGCACATCAGTGAAGTGCGGCTTTTAGAGGAAGACTCGCATTCTCGCTTAATCTCACGCCATCTTCCATTTACACCCCTAGAGCAGTGACTTCGTTTGAAGTTTTGTTGAAATAGAGTGGCAAGGACGTCAAAGGAATAGTGATGTGATGTCTTAACAGAAGAATCGAGGTCCTGAATTTATGCGGATGTCAAATCGAGGTTATGGCTGTACACAGACGTTAACCGCACTCTATTAAGGAAAGACACTGGACAGCACATAACAGCCGGTCTCCATTGTCGAGTCACACTCCGCCAGAAATGATGACGTCATTGTGTGGGGAGAAGTCCCCTCTGATTCACGTCCTTCTCGGTAGTGATCAATGTAACACAGAATGCACTGCGGTATTTTTTCGAGTTGTGATGTTATTCCGTTCATAGTGCGGCTCCATTGGTAATTTCCCAAAAGGATATTACCCTACCTCCTGAATATATATGGCAACCACAGCCCCTCTTAGCCATAGACCATCCTGGGGTGTAAGATTATCTAGTTTTATAAGTTCTCCTTGTTTCTTTCAGCCTCTCTGAAAATAGCTGTTTTGCCCCACTGAGCATATCCTCATTAAACAGGAGAGCAATATCTGCCACCTTCGCGAATTTTAACTGTAACAAGCACGAGTCCTGCCTCACCTGGCGAAGAGCTTTTGGTTGGTCACGTTACTTTAGGCTGGTGGGTCTGCCAACCAACAGGTGTTACGGCCTGAAGTCTGGTACATCTTCTATACTCCCGCACTGCAGCTGTACTCTGATGAATAAGACACTGCTCTGCACTTTCTCCTCTTCTCTCTTCTGGCCGTTCACTTTCCTAACTGACTTTACATGGTATTCTATAATTTTTCTCCGCCAATTATAAGTATTATGGATTAATACTTTGAAGCCTTTACCAGAATACCACTTCATGAATCCTCAAAATTTTGATCTTCTCGCCTCCTATAAAATTCATCCAATATCTTGTCGATCTTAGTAGGGAACTAATTCCGTTTCTTATGAAGGGCCTCATCATTTAACACATTTTCTATTTGCAAGTGAATGCCATTTATACTATGGATTGAGACTGGCTGGAGAATTACTTAAGCGAACACTATCCATCCAGGCACACGCATCGTTATCCCTGCTGAGCATGCTTTCCTGTGCTTGCAAGGCAAGCTGTGGGTACAGATGCGAATGCAGGTGTGTTGGATTAAAATGTTGGACTATTCGCGGTAACTGCAGAGGATAGTATCAGCACAAGATAGTATCCTCTACTGTCATGCACAAATTAGCAAATGCAAGATTGCAATATAGCTACTGACGAAGATGATCCAGACGAACAAGCCTGCTGAGTCGATTCTTCGTACTTCAAGATCACAATAACTGAAATTAATTATTTTTTAATGTGGCGTGGAGTGAAACGGTTTGAGCAGGCTTAGTTCGTCGATATCTTTTGTTGTTATCATGTAGGTTATATCTATGGAACTAAAAATGTCATTTCTCAAGGTCGTGTGATGGAAGGGATCTATAAATACTTTAGGATGCTATAAATATAGAGAATCCCTATCTGCACCTACAGTAAATGTCTGATGGGAGCATCGCTGGATGTTGGGGATGGGAGGTTATTGGGAGGACAGTCCATTTTCAGCTGTTAACTCTTAGTAAGGGGCATGTTATATCATGTAAGATCATTTTTTCTCAGTTTAATCTTGGTGCTGATAAGCAAAATAAAATACCTTCCCTTCAGTCATTAGCATAAAGAACGCACGCCAGTGCTTGAATCGCCGTGTTTCATCAATGGCAAATAGCAACGAGATGATAAATAAACTGTTAGAAAAAAAATTATAATGAATAATATTTCTGTGGGCTAATTTTCAGCTATATGGCATTATTATGCACCTGTTAACCCATTTATTCTTTACATTAATAGCTTTTTAAAGAATTGTTAATGGAAAATTGCTATAGGGGTGCCTTAAAAGCGCATTTGCTCAATATAATTTCACTTCAATATATCCAATATAGTTTGAAAGTGAATTTAGGACCCTCTAGAAGGGAACTGATTTACTGAAATAATATATGTGGTGTCATCTCTCCTCCTCTGTCGGTTCTGGGGACTTTGGACACTCTTGCACAAAAAACGAAGACGCCGGCACAGGAAATCATTACAAATTCAATATTATGTTGTGGAATATGGCTAATCTATGTTGTGGTACTACTTTAACGGCAAAACTTTAATCGCTAGAACTGTAGTCTTGTATTGGTATATTTATTATTGCCTGCACTTTTTGAATAACTTTTGGTTATTTGCTCTCAGCTTCATATACATTGACGAAAGCCATTCATTAATTTGTGTCGCGGCTACAGATCAAAGCCAATAGCACTGCATATTACAATTC